ACTAAACTGGCACGTAATTAGCTAGAAAGCGTTCAAGTTTTTTTCCCCTAAAGACTCGAACACATGTTGCGTTTTCCTTTGAGCGCTGTATTTATGGTATATGTTATGTGGCGACAAGGAAAAATGCACGTTTTTTCTCTAAGTTTGTTATATTATGCAAACGCTGATTTTTTTGGCGTGATTTTTATGGGAAGAAATTTGTTCAATCTTGAAAAAGTTTATTTTTGTACGTTTGTTTGCATTTTGTTATTAGAATCCCATTGAGCGTCTGGGCTGTCATCCTCAGACAGGATTTTCAGATATAACGACACATGTATTTTTCCGGACGGTCGATTGGGAACAGGTGGGTGAAGGCGCTTAACAAGACTCGCTTTGACTTTTTAAGCCCCAATATCAACATACAAATTCTCCATACTGATCTCCATACATTTCCATAAGGAATAAGTTAGAATAATTTTTTTTAAAAGACAGCATTTTCCCTTTGCTGATCATTTTATTAATTTTATTAATAACTTTTTCTCATGATAAAGCATTGATACTGTTTGGAGAAAATTGATATTGGTCGCTCCTGGGACCTTAAGTGGCCTTTTGGATAGGATTGCAGTTCTTAATCATCGGAATCGACAGCACCACAGACCATGACGACAACTAGCAAACGGCACGAACCTCATTCGGTACATCTGAACCTATTTTTCTCTTTTTACCTCTCTAGTTGGAAGCCCGTCAGGTTCCTCCTCCGTTCAAGCCCCGGATTGAGGATCAATATGGACTGGGTAACTTTGATCCACAGTTTACAAACGAACCCGTGGTATTAACTCCAGATGACCCGTAAGTTAACATGTTTTACTTGCCAGTTTAGAGACGAGCAGAGGACTGGAGCTGAAATATGCCCCGCAAATGTTTCTCGGATTGATACTCCCTGGGGACGCGCCTGTCAGCCATTGGCCATTTTTTTTCCGGTCCCTAAAAACCGTCCCAGAAGTCTTTGCGAAAGTTTACTCTGCCCAGTTTCTTTCTTGTTTCAAAACAGGGGAATTGGAGACCTGTATATTCTAAGACGTGTACTACAACGAGTACGAGATTTGGCTTACAGTTTTTTCGCGTATTCTCAAAATATAGGCTCCCCGGAAAGCTTAAGCCATTTTGTCTCTAGAAAAGTTAGCACTGTTGCCTTTAGTGAAGGAGGTTACACCCTCTCCCGATCGCAAAATGATAAAACTTGTAACATTTGATATCTTGTTTCCGTCACTTCGACATTCTCGCTAAAACTCGTTGTAGAGTGACGACGGCTACCACGTTTTTCCGCCAAAATGACGCTAGTTCGCGCGCACGCTACTTATTACTGAGAAAATCTCGTACTAGTAGTCGTACTCATCTTAAAATCTTAAGCTCTCTACTGTTAGAATTTCCCCTTACAACGTGTTTATGCCAATGAACAGCTTTACTATTATTTATATGGATATTAACAGTTCCTTCCTTCATTTTTTTTGCGACAGGAAACTCCTGGAGACTATCGACCAATCAGAGTTTGAAGGATTTGAATACATTAATCCCTTGTTAATGTCCTCAGAGGAATGCGTATAATGATTGTTTCAGTCACACTATAGGCCAGATTTCTTTCGCGATACGCACACTGTTACATACTTACTTTTTTAGTGAAAACGCATATCAAATCACAGCATTGACAAAGTTCAAAAATTTGAAAAACAGTCTTAGTTTAAAGTAAAACATCATGAATATACAATACCCCAGCTGAAAGGCCTTTTAGCACTTTTCGTTAGAAGCGTTGTACTTTAGAATTTGTCGGCATAGTTGAAAGCTGAAAGATGTTGCATTTGAAAATGGGTGCATAAAAATTAAGTTAAAATGAAGTTCAAAATTGCATCACAAATAATATAAGTTTTTTTGTGTAGTGCTTATATAGATATAGCCTTGGGTATGGGAAATGCACAAGAATAAACGGCGAGTAAATGAATTGATAATTTATATGTAAAGTAATTTTTTCCATATATACTAAGTGAAAGGTAAATCCTATACGTAAGTGAAATGCTGGACTTTATAAGTAAAAAAAAAATATAAATCTCCTAAGTTTGTCCGAAATAACGTTTTCTGACGATTGGTATTTTGGTTAGGAATAGATACGTCTAGCCTAATGTAGATAGCCTGTGCACAGACGCCGCCCCTGTACTCTGGGGGACGTCTGTACACAGGCTAAATGTAGATCATTCGACTCTACTGATTTCATCATCCAGTTTAGCTAGTCTGCTCTTAAAAACATCCGGGACCAGTAAATAAAAATCGAAGTGGGTTGCATTTTTTTTTTCGCCTTTTAGTTATCCAAATAAACTAGCTGAAACATGATGTCAAACAAAATAGGCTTAACANTCACAAATAATATAAGTTTTTTTGTGTAGTGCTTATATAGATATAGCCTTGGGTATGGGAAATGCACAAGAATAAACGGCGAGTAAATGAATTGATAATTTATATGTAAAGTAATTTTTTCCATATATACTAAGTGAAAGGTAAATCCTATACGTAAGTGAAATGCTGGATTTTATAAGTAAAAAAAATATATAAATCTCCTAAGTTTGTCCGAATTAACGTTTTCTGACGATTGGTACTTTGGTTAGGAATAGATACGTCTAGCCTAATGTAGATAGCCTGTGCACAGACGCCGCCCCTGTACTCTGGGGGACGTCTGTACACAGGCTAAATGTAGATCATTCGACTCTACTGATTTCATCATCCAGTTTAGCTAGTCTGCTCTTAAAAACATCCGGGACCAGTAAATAAAAATCGAAGTGGGTTGCATTTTTTTTTTCGCCTTTTAGTTATCCAAATAAACTAGCTGAAACATGATGTCAAACAAAATAGGCTTAACATTAAGTTGGTGATTAGTTTTCGCGTACGTTCAAACATTTTTGTTGTGGTTGTCAGGTTTGGATAAAAGAGAAATTAAAATCGCTTTGGATGGGCCACTCTGTGAAGGGGTAGGAAATATTGAAAGGTGCCGGCATCTTATAAAATCAAATTAGAAATTGTCCAGTGGTTATAATTCACCGAGTAACGAATGAACCGTTGCACGGGTAGATAAGTAGTGCAACACGGGTAGATAAGTAGTTTCATCTATGGTCTTGTATTTGTACTCAACTTGGAAATTGCTTACTATTTTTATGGTCAAAATATGTTGTAATAAACTCATTTGGTGCAATCTTGTGGTGTCATTTTAACTTCCGACGGAAAAGACTTACAGGGGTTCGAAAGTACGCTGTTCCTACATTCTCCTGGACTAGCAGTTGTTTCTATCTGGAAAAGAGCGGCCTGGGGTAAACACGTGATGTCATGCTTGTATCGGGAAGGATAGCTTTGGGGAAGTCGCATGCGAGGCGAGGGAGATCCGTTTGATCCAATGACGAAAGTGTAACTTTGCAATTTGCGAGACTGAAAGAAGTATAGGGCGTGGCTGCGAGAACGCCGCCCGCTTGAGGCTCCCTCTCTATCGTGTGGGTCTCCCCATATTTGTTTCACCTTGTTATTCTTGCCTTGTTAGGGGAAGGAATATCTGGAAAGGGTCTCCGGTTCAAATAGCTCTTTTAGTCCTCTAGTAACAGTGGACTACTGAGCTTGTTTGATAGATGATTAAATGTGACGCTGAAATCAGAAGCGTGGAAACGAAAATAGAAGTGTTCCCACGGTTTGAGTCTTAATCTCGCAAAATACTTAAAGCTGTCGCATGACTTCTGGACTTAACAGTATTTTAGTTTCCCCACCCTGCTCCACTGCGACGACACCAGAAAATAACTTTCTTCAGCTGGCTCTGCGCCTTACAATCACCCATCTTGATGCATGGTGGTTTGTATGCGAATTTGAATTAATTAATGATTGTCTGTTATTGTTTGGTTTTTAACAAGAGAAAATTGGAACACAAAAACGTCTCTGTTCACTTTTATTACATATATTCTGAGACAAACTAGGCTCCAGCTCCCCAAAGTAAATTAGTTTCGATTATTGGTGCAACTTTCAGTTTGGGATTGCTTCCCAAAAGCCGGCAATTGAGCCTAGACATTGGTACGACATTCGGTATTTCGAACTATTCCTCAGTAAACCAAAACTGGTTTTATATTCAGAATCAAGTATGTTTACATTCACAACGTAAATCACTCTCGCATTTACAATTCATCATCTTCAAAACTTGTCCTGTACATTACGTAAGGATATCATGTTATATTAAGGATTCAACTTGATAAATTATCATGAAACTGGCGGAAATTCTTAATAAAAAATTCATACACAGCCGAATATTATACTAATTCCAATGTCAGTTCTCTTCTCGTTGCCATGGTATCCGTGGTGAGAAGTGCAGACATTTTAAGCTATAATTATATTAAATATTCAATTCGAAGAAGATATTATTCAAAAGGGTGGTTTTAAAGGAAGACACACCCCTGGGCAAATCACACGAGACAAATTTTTATGCACAGTTCAGAAATGGAAGAACTAAGTTGTTTGTTATCTGCGACAAGTTTTTCTTCGCAGTGAAAATGAAAAAGGACGAAATTTTTTTTTTAACTTGACAAAAATAAAATCTCATTAACATTTTCTCTTTTCACACTGCCAAGGAAGACTTGCAAGTTGACGTTCGTAAAAGTCGTACTTAAATTTTGATTCTAATAAAAGGAAACGCCCTAACTTCTTGTACAACCAATCAAAATGCGTGTCAGCCTGTGTGAAGCCGCCCCCTCCCCTGAAATTTTTCCTGAGGGGAGTGGGGGGGGGGGGCCTATACACAGCTTCCTTTTCGGAAGTACTTTCGTCTGTTTTTGAATACATTTTTGACAGAATCTACATGAAAACTCTTCCCTGATAATTTGCCGAGCCCTGTGATCATTTTAACTTTGTGGGAAACTGCCCACCTACCCCTCCCGTAAGCTAACATTTTGCCTTAAGCGAGAAGTATGTATTAATGTTGGCTTAGGGGAGGGGTAGGTGGGCAGTTTCCCAGAAAGATATAATGATCCTGTACATGTAACATCAATATTTTTGTAATAAATACTTTAGTAGAAGGTGAAAAGATGATGTGGGCTGTAATAAATACCTAATTTTCCCCCTTGCTGTTAAAATAAAGCAAACAGGTGACGATAAATACGAATTCTGATCACTTCAGTGCCAACTTTCAGTTCTAACATTATAAACCCTGACCTTCTTAAAACTTTGACTGATCTCGTTATGTCCTGGCTCGGCAAATCAGAAACGAAGCTGTTAACCAGTACTTTCAAACGGAGCTGTACAGGGCGTTCACGGCATATTACAATGCGCAAGGTGGTTCTATCTTTTGAGTCTGCGGTAGCCTGTTCAGGGCTCCAAGATAGCAGTGCAGTCGTGCATTAAAAAGGGGGCAAAAAAACGCGCGGGGGTTTACTTTCGCAATGTCCCTTCTATCTAACAGCCTGGTCACGCTAAGCCAGCATATAAAATTCTAGTGTCACGTTTGAAGTAAACGCTACTGGGCAGTACCTAATGTGAGTGCTTTTTTTTGTTTTGACTTTGGATGAAAACCTAACGTGCAGTAGTGTTACATTATTTGGTATATGAAAGAAAGGACTATCCCGAGCTGCCTTTCGGTTCTCACGTAAGGTAGCTTCAACCAAATTTCTTTTTGTCAATACCTTGGCATAGTTATATGCATTATACGGTGGTTCTGGTTTAATTCAGTTCAGCCATCATGGCAGTGAAATCTGACAGATTCTGATAGTCCGGGTCATTAGGAACCATACATATGTAGTCTTCATCCTCACACAACACATTAGAACCACCAAGCAGCAGCTTACATGGAAGACCATCTGCATGCTGTGAGTAATGTTCCACCAAGGATGTCAAATCTGTTAAGACCTTATCAAAACCCTGTTGGAAAGAGAAATAAAAGTAAGACATAAACATCTAGGATGGCGATCACCAGTTAGACATTTCAATTTTTGAAGAGAAATGAAAAAAAAGTACTTTTTTGAGTGACAAACAAGAGTACTAATCGGGGACACTATTTAAGGTGGTCATCCGAGTCACGCCAAGGTCTAAGCCTCTTGCAGGGAAAGGCAGTACCTTCATTTCTCAGTTATTTTAAGATCCTGAGTAATGATTCAGCCCTGGGAATCGAACCTGCGACCTCCCGCTCTGCCGTCAAGTGCTCTGCCGACTGAGCTAATCCTGCCGCGGCAAAAAAAAAAACGCAAAAGACAAAAAACAAACAAACACAAACAAACAAAAAAAGAATGGTTCGGAGACCCTCAGAGACTAATTCTTAACTGACACAGCTTTATAAGAGGGAGGGCTTCTCTTGATAATAACACGTGTGTAACTCACTTGATTTGTGCTAACCTGTATCATGACGCCATCTTTGACTTTAACAATCAGAAAGTTTCCAAATCCACTGGGACTGGTTTCTTGAGGAACGCGCATGGTCAGAGCATAGCAACCAGGCCGACTTTGACTGTCACGCACAAAAAATGACCCTTCCTCTGCCTTCTCTAGCATCTCAGTTACAAACTCCCTAAAAAGATCAATATTTATTATCATAAATACGGGGATATGACAAAGGCACACGAGGGCTATCAGGATCCAGTAAACGAGACACATAACAAAAATGTTGTTTCACTACCAACGTGATTATCTATCGCTGAAGAAATCTGTGCGGTCATACCTTTTTAGAAACATGGACAACATTTAAAGTTTCACGCACAAATAAAGTTTAAAATTCGTTTAAGTCAGTCGTGAGTGCCAGAATTTTTCTGGAATGTTATTATTTTGCGACAGAGACCTCAATCAGAAGATAGTGCTCTTGGTAATAGAGTCTTCAAATAGTAATTTTATTCTTTAATGTCAAGAGTTGGTGGAGGGCCGTGGTCTAAAAAGAGCAAAGATCAAGTACCTGAAGAAAACTTAAAGATACTACAAAAAAAAGTTTCTTGGGATAGGCACGGAGCATATTCCAGTGAACAAGCTATTAGAGGCTGTCTTACCCTTAGGCTTACTGAGTGCACCCACAACATTTTATATTCTGAGGCAATATGTTTAGTTTGGACTAACTTGGATTACTGTAATTTAAATCATAAGGTAACTGACCTTGGTATTCCAGGCATATACCAGTCTTCATTCTCATGACTGTTGCGTTTGGACACAGTTTTGTGTGTACTGCCTCCCTTTGTCACTAGATTTGGGTCTGAGGAGGACTTTGCGATTGGAGACATCAAATTCTGCTGGTTAGTTACAACAACAGACGCTGACTTTTTGTCACTTCTTGATGGTGGGGGAGTCTGGGAACGCCCTCGAGCAATATGCCCTTCTGAAGATAAAGGACGCTCCCTCTCGTGCCGAACATGAACGTTTTGCTCTTGTGGGTTTTTTTGAGAGTCTTGTACAATGGTTGCTGGTGCACTTATTTTCCTGTCTTCTGGCTGCAATTGAGAGGCTCCGGGAGTTCTCAGACGTTTTCTTTCAATTTCCGGACTTCCATCAGTTACAGCATCTGTCACCACATCATCTGATAGATTTGTCCTTTGTTCATTACCACCAAGATTCTTTTGTGCAAGATCTGATCGCCGCACCTCAGGAGGAGTATGAGCCTTGCCAAAGGACCTTCTTCTTCCAAACGGCGATCCCTGAGAAGACGTTGATGGTTGTACAGATGGTGCTGAGGGCATGGATTGCTCTTGTGAGGCGCTTGGACTTTTACCATGCGACTTCTCCTGATGCTTTTTCATTTTAGCCACAATGGCGTGCTGTGAATGTTCATGCCCTTGCCGAGCCTCTAGCTTTGCCTGAAATAAACGTTGAAAGTAATGAATTACGACACCCAAAACGGAACCTTTAATAGTTGCACTCTTAAGGTATACGGATCAGTGAAAAAAGTAGCAAATGCTGTCAATAGAAAGAGCAGAAACATGCTCCCATACTCACCCATCTCCTACCCTGGACCACCCCTTCATCAGAAACCACTTTGGATACTGGTTCCATCTTAAGCTCTGTTCCTTTTGGAAACTTTGAATCTGCAAATGCAAGTTGAAATGCCTTGCCAATCATAGCTGTCAAACTTTGTACCTAGTAAGAAAACGAAAACAAAACAGCATATCCAATTTATCCACTGATCACATCTCAAGAAAAGACCATCACTTTAATAATCATCTCTATTACAATGCCATTAAGTGATGCTTTGCCATGAAATAACTACAAGAATAAATTTAAGGTTACTTAAATGGAAACCTTTTAACTCTACAGCAAATGTATCCATTTGTTAAAACATTTCACTTTAGCAAATGGGTTAAAAGTCCTTCACCCCGTGTATACAAACTGAAATACCGACGACAACAGTAATACTGGCAACTGTAAGTTGCAAGCAATGATACTCTTTGAGTACAACAAATGCGGGTACCCAACAGCCCTAAAAATCCTGCAATAACAACAACTTAGCCAAATGAACAAGGCTTTCACACAAGGAAACGACTTAAGAGTGGTCAATTGTTTCACTTTTTGGCAGAAAAAAGTGGTTCCAATAACAGGGATATCATATAAATGGTGTGCTTGCAAGGTAGTGTTCTACTATTGGACATTTTGAGGTTGTATGTGAGACTGGGTCAGTGTTGTCATTAATTATTGTACTATGGGGCTCCTTATGAGGTTGTGCAGGAGACTGAGTTAAAATTCATCCCCAAAACAGTCCAAAAGTGCAATATTTGTTACAGCAATGACCTGGTCTGAAGCATAACCTCCATTATCACCAATACATGTTGCAGAAGGTCATGCTACAGCCTGTGGGTTCAACGAATACATGTGTAAAACATACTGCCATAATGAGACTGTTTTCATTCCGATCATTTCACACTTCACACACTTATCGCATTCGCTGTCATGTTCTCTCTTGCCCAAATATGCAAGAAACAAATTCGGAAGGCAGCATACAGTATCACACTACATGTCACGCAATGACCTGTTACAGTAAATGTTTTAATGCTCAAGTCATGCACCTTTCTCTTAAAGCCACTATGCCACAATTTCCTTGTATTTTCTGCTCCCTATCTTCACCCCCAAAATTTCATAAAAGTGTTACAATGCTCTCACCTGTCTAACATATTTTGTCATGAACACATGGCAATGAATGGCTGTCCCCATCGGAGAAGGATTGTGTGACATGTAGGCAAAGAGTCTGAACTCGGGATCACAAGTGGCAAAGGAAATTCTTTGCAATGCATGAGCCATTCTAACACGCTGAAAACGTTAACGTTCCATAAGAAAATCATATCCAGATAACTATCATTTTCATCATAATTCTAACAATAAACAATAGTAACTTCTGGAAAAAATTCAACAGCCAAAACGATAAGAGCTAACCCACTTTTAAAAAGTTAATGTAAGAAGACCATCCTAATCACTTTTATTTGAGTGGCCTACAAATACAGCTGTCTCGACCCCCCTCCCCCACCCTTACTCCTGACTGCAAAATGTCCCTAGAGATAAGAGTGAGGAGAGATGTCTGTATTAACAGGCTTCTATTTGAGACCAGTTCCCTAGCCTGAATTTCAGATGATTACTTAGAGTCATTTTTACTCCCTTGCTGAGGGAGTAAAAACGACTCAAAGTAATCATCTGAAACTCAGGCTATCAGTTCCTACCACCCCAGGTTGAGCATCTTCTGCCACATCTGAGCTAGCTGTGACTCGTGACTAACTTATTGCCAGTGGAATATGCTAGAAGAATCAACCAGGGCCCAGTGGTTCAAGGGCCCATTAGCGCTTAACCCCGGATTAATTTTAACCCTTGTTTGTTTTTCTTGTGTTCAAAAGCATTTTCTCGAATAATTTTCTCTGCTATTTTTTAGAGCTTCCAATCATCATCTTGTAGACAAAAAGAATTAAAACTGAAATGTATTTTAAGCTTTCAAATCTAACTTCAAATGTTGCACTAACCCTGGGTTATCTTAACCCAGCTTTGAACAACTCGGCCCAGTATTTTACCTGTCCATCAGCAGAAATGACTTTGATTCCATCACTGGAAATTAGTAGAAAAACACCAACACCTTTCTGTGCATCCTGGAGAATAAACAATTTTTCACAGTTAAACAAGTAAGAATGATATTACCAGTATCTAAAAAAATTACAAATATAGAACCAGTTTGTAAATGAATCTAAGTTAATAAATGAATTTATTAAACAGCATGAACTGCCTGTTGGAGGGAGGTTCCCCGTTGCTCACACACAGAGTGAAATGTTAGGCATTTGCCTTTCAGCGGAGAGCCCAAAGATTAAAGGCAAAGATTAACACTACTTTTTAATTAACAGGTGGTTTAGGTTGAATAAGTGGTTGAGTCAGTTTCAACATAAAAAGCAAAAGCCCTTTTGTTTAATAATGCGAAACAACAAATTTCACACCAAGCATTGTTTTGGAATTACAAACTTTTAAAGATTCAAGGCAATAATTTTAAAGACAGACAGAACAGGCAAGTTAAATGAATACCCATCCAAAACCACTGCAAACATGAAGAACTTAGTTTACAGGAAGTCGTGGGTGTAAAAGTTAACTAGTCTGATATTAGCATAAGCAGGTAATTCCAGCAAGTTTTAAACTTATCAAAAGGTTTACACAATGAAAGTATAGTGAAACGTGAATTCGTTGGACTAGAATTTGAATGCCGAGCCTGACAAGTGAACATCAAAACTTACCCTATACTCCCTGAGTTTCTTTTTCACAAATCTTGTTCTTTCTTTATGTGTAGTTAAGGTGGTCTCACCATCTTTAAATGAACCACTAAGGGTGACAGCAAATGTTCCTATATACTTGAATAAAAAAAAAATTAAAATGTCATTCAAGTTACAATAGCTACAGGAGCATATAACAGGTTTTGGTCATGTTGAGCCCAGTTTTTTGGGAAAACATGATTTTATGAGTTTAGGCTCATTTTCTTAGTCAGGAAATTCAAAAAGAGTCAGTTCATATTAGTAAAACCAATGAATAAATTTAGTAAAACTTTATCCTGTTTTGCACACATTTGTTTGGCTCATCAGACAGTTGATTAGATTGATTTCCAACAATTTTAATTTTCTCTGTTTTCTAGCCCTAGTAATCATAAAGAATCAACCAAGGATAAACCATTTTAACCTGAATTTCATTTTCACCTATAACAGACAATGTATCAGAGAACTGCTTTATGACAAAATGCAGAAATGCTGTACATGTACTTTGCCTAGGCTTCAAAAATTCTTGTCATGCAGCCAATGCAATTTGGATCCTTTTGTCTCGGTTACATCATTCAAATGAAAAATGAAAGTTTAGGCCTGGGAAAGCTGTTCGGGAACCAAGAAAGTTAGCTGTAGTGAAAAGGAGCGTAAGTGATACACAGAATTTTCAGTGAGGTCTTCTGTACGTGTTGTTAGCTTTAGCCTATGACTTTAAATGAGACCTATCACTTTGCTGGATATCACACACAAAAAAACTCATCTAATATTGGTCATTAGTAAGACTACTGAAAAACTAGAAAACAAAGCAAAACAAAATTTTCAAATCTGATTGGCTACCAACTGTCCTGATTTCAGCACCAATAGAACAGTATAATAGGAGAGTATGCATCATGGCTGAAATTGGACTGTACGCACCATCTCACATGCACGCTTAAATGGCTTTTTAATTTTCAGTGCTAGCCAAAAAAAACCTCCCAGAATTTCTTGTGTTTTAACTTTAAAAAAGCCTAAAATATCACAAATTTTGTTATAGTTACGATTAATTGGTAACAGAACTTTGTTTGTCCAATTGATCTGCAATCATACTCGTGATTAAACAAATTGGACTCCCGCTACGTGGTCTACCGATTTTGTTAATGACTCGCACGATTTCAGACCGAATTAGACTCCACTCAGTCCTATTAACATCATTAATAGTATTAATTACAAGCTGGACATGTACAGTTTGAGGTTGAGTTGGTATCATTGCATTGTGTTGTAGTTGTATAGTTTCTTGTAGGCATCAAAGGAAATCAAGTAGTTTCACTCTTTCACAAACATTCACCATCAACAAAACACAAAACGTTGCCAAAAAATTTGCATTCACTTAAGTAGTTTTTTATATTGGTCATGTAAGAATTCAATGCTTTTTTAAAGGCCCACTTAGGTGAATGGATGAAGCGTGTGATTATATGCTGATCTTCACAAATATTGAATAACCACTTGCTGGCTCTGTTCTTGTGACGAGTTCGTAAGATCAATGTGTAAAAACATGCAAAAGACAACCATCGACTGGGGCAACGAAACAATTTTTGACAATATTAATTTGATATTTATTGATGTGGATGACGGAATATGATAGGTGTTAAACCGACTTGTCAGTTTTAGAACCCATTTTGTTTTAAAAACAGTGATGAAAGGAAAGTTGAATTTAGTGACTACAGTAAAAAAAAAAGAAGATTCCAAATACCTGGCAGCTTTGTTTAGGCCCCAGTAACTTTGGTTGATGCTCTTCAGGATTGAGGTCAACAAACCCTTCGGGGTCGAATCCATCTGCACTGTCATTGCCATTCTCGTCATCCAAAACGGTCGAAGAATTTGAGGAAATCTTTGGGGAATGGCTTTTTTGATGACCGTTGTGCACATTCAAAATGTCATCTTTGGTTTTATTCTTTTTCTTTTTGAACATTTCTCTCACAGGCAAACCTGGTTGAGTGTGTCGATTACAAAACTTGTGTTTCACATACGCGCCTGTTCATTTTATGGTCAGCAGTACTAATTGACGGAAGCTACGTCAAAGGAGGGGGAAGTCATTGCATTACGAAACTTACGTCACGCCAGCTGTTTGCGTAAAGTCAGTCGAGTTAGAAAATAGTGCTTGTAACGGCGACTTCAGAAGTTTGCCCAAGATCTCATGAACGTCGATCCTAAGAAAGGTCAAGAAATAAGCCTGATGAGAAAGTATGAGAGACGTTACTCTGTGAGCAGGCTCGAGAGTTCCGCGTTAGATTGTCTATTTTTACTTCTAACAGGAGCCTTGCTTCTGGAATTTTCTGGCGAGCCTCGCCTTTATTTGTCTTACAGTGACGCGGTCTTTATACTGAGCGATCGGACAAAAACATAACTTAAGAGGTTGTGTTTTCTTTCCTGACTCCGTTATTCCACAAAACAATGTCTTTCTTAGTCATTTATAATAAAAAAAAAACTGATTTTGCCCCCGCTTCCCAAAATGGTGTGATATTGCTAAAAACACCGTAATGAAATAGAAATACCGAAAAAGGATGGTTAGCTGTATTTGCCTGATATCTCGCTAGAAAACATAAATTAAATTCTAAGGGGGCTAAAAATGTTTTCCTTCTTAGCTGAAATAGTACCTTTTCCCGTCCCACCCATTTTTTAAGGGAACAACCCTGGGAACGAGGTTGGTTTTTCCTCTCTCTAACTTCCCTGCTAGCAGAGGCATTTTTGCCCAGCCGTGATAGACCTTTCCTAGCAGGGACGTATACAAACCATTGACCCCAGGTCCATTGACGACCCTGTGGATCTAGTAAGGTATAGTCCATGGACCTCTTCATGGACCCGGTCCATGGACTACCCCCGTGGACCACCCTTAATTTTTGAAGATGAATTTTTACCAGAGGTCTAAACGAATTTTAGGAACCTTAAATGGAAAAAATTGTGTCAATTTATATAATCAGGCTTAAAGGATTTTTTAATCTATTTTTGTACATATTATTTTACAATTGTAAGTAGCTATTAATATTATTTTACGATTGGAAGTAGCTTTGTAATTCAGCCTTATATGTACAATGTAATTTTTCCTTGAATTCCATACATGGGTTTGGCTTAGTCTGGAGGGAGAAACAACATTTGACGGGGATATGAGGAGAGGTAGGGGGAAGTATCACTTACGCAGCTTTTTTTGTATGTCGTCGCGTTGAGTGAAGATCGACACAAAAATGGCTGCGTAGGAGACCAGAGAGGAATACGTAATGCATAATGATTGAGTACTCTCCCCAGACTTCCCTTCCCTTGATAGCCCTTGCAAATGTTTATTGGTTGGCAAACGTATTGAATTCTGCTCACGAATCAAGCACAAAATGACCTGCAGTTATCAAACAATGTGGTTTGTCCGACGCCTTACAAGTTTTTGGACACTTACAGGTTTGTTCATGTAAATTGCCATTCATTCAAGTCGAGGATTGTTGTAGTTAAAAACACATAGACATTAAGCTTTCTCGGTAGTCTCATACGCAGCCGTTTTTGTTTCAATTTTCACGCAAGTTAAATAATATAGCCAAAAATTAAGAATGGCAGTTTGATTTCCAAACACTTGACAATGACAACATTTAGCTGGGACAGGAGCCCATCAGGAGGAGCTAATATCTTCCATACAAGCCCTTGGAGCCCTTTTCCGAGTTAATTTATAAATAGAACGGTTCGCCGAGGAGGCTTCGCACGTCGACTTATGAGCTCCTCAGTGGTTGGAGATGCCTCAGGCATTGTAGACTTCCTGTCCCTTCAGTGAGAACTTAACGAATGTTCCAAATTCTTCAAAACTGCCATCCACTGCAGTTCTGGAAAGCCTTTTGTTTTCTCGTTGAAAATTAGATTGGGGTACAAATTTGCACCCCTAATTCAACAGGACCACTCACGCCCTAGCCCTCCGATCCCGTCAACCCTTTCGCGCTTAGACTAGTCCCAGGCCGCTGATCTGGCGAGGAAGTTCGTGCATCACGGTCAGCTCTCGTTAACATCCGTCGAAAGGCCCTCTTATCTTCGGTCGGATTTCGTAAACGTATGACGTCACGCTCGCCTCGAAGGTTAACATGCATCTGCACTTCGATCGTCTATATCGGACTTGTTTGATTTTTGGTGAGTGATTTTGTCTAGGCTTTTGTACATTATGCTTTTGCTTCCCCACTAAAATGCTCCACCTTAATGCTCCATTTTTCCCACTAAAATGCTCGGTTTCCCCAAAAAAGTCACTAAAATGCTCGGATAATGCTCATTATACAAACGGTTTTTCTAAAATTAATTTTAAAGATTACACTTACAAAAACGTGCAAGTGTTGCAAGTAACAACGACAACGTGTACAAGTTCATAAATACAGCCAAAAAAACAGCTGTATTAGGTTTTTTGTGAATTTTGAGTTTTAGTCTTCATTTTCTTTTAAAAAGCAGGAGCTCATGGGGCATGGGCTCCTGAAAAAGTTTAAAATTTCTATTTTATTTTCTCGGAAAAAATTAATTTTCCGGGGAAAATGCCACTAAAATGCTCGAATAATGCTCAATGCTTTTGCCTCACTAAAATGCTCGAAAAAATGCTAGCATAATGTACAAAAGCCTAATTTTGTCCCACTTTTTCGATCATTCCTCGATTGATTCCAATCAATTCAAACAAGAAGATGCCACTGCCTCCGTTTACAGGATGTTTTGATCTTTCAAGCCTCTTCTTACTCCGCGGGGAAAAGGACCTTTCAGTGGATGTTACTGAATAACATCCTTTGAATGGCCCCAGATCACCAGGCTGTGTATCTAGGTGACAATTATTATACATTATCACTTTCCTTATTGAATACGTGTACAGTGTAAAAATCGCCATACTTATATTTCACACTTGAGAAGGATCAATATTGTTATTTATTATCCCGGATCAGCCCAGGGGGCCAAAATTAGTGGGGTGGGGAGGGAGCTGTTTTGACACAACCCCTTCAGTAAGCAGCGGTGTACACTACAGGCTTTGGCAAGTACCTTGTTCTTAATTTGCCCTAGCCACTGAGCTGAATCAGGCCTCTGCTGAGAATGATAATGTTAATAGCCTTAGTCTCTATTTTTATATTTTGCACGCATTGTCCCGCCTTGAATAGCCTTGCTAGCTGCGGGCAATACTTCTGTAAGTTCATTTGTTTATTCATAAAGTTTTGTTGTTGTTGTTGTTGTTGTTGTTGATAATTGCAGAGCTCAGTGGGAGGCACAGACAGTCACCCATTGTCCTGGGTGGGGAGGATCAAAGTCTTGGAACCAAGGACACAGTTAGCATAGGACCTGTAGACACTCACTGACGCCATGTTTACATAATTCTGTCAGAATTATTTATTTATTTATTTATTTACTTATTTATTTATTTAGGCTTACTTATTTTATGCCTTATAATTAAGGTTGCAAATGAAAATGTGCTTAAACTGTGCATTTTGGTTCAAAGCCATTGATACTATGAAGTCTTCATCTACATGATATCTGCAAGTTATTTCTTGGGAAAGGTTGCCTATCAGGTCAATGGGTTTGTTCAAGATTTTTTAAATATGTTTCTTTAACAGTACATCAATGAATGAATGGTGGAATCAATATTTTTAATTCAACTTAAGTAACCTCTCAGAGTTTTGACTTGGCTTCTAATATTGTTTTGTCAAAAATACAGCGTGCAAAGAAAGTAGTGTCCGATAGCCCGGGGCTAGTGGATTTTGCTATCGGGCAAGTGAATTCTGTTTTTAACTTGCCCGACGGGCAAGTGATGCTTTTTGAGGAATTTGAATAACAGAAGAACTGTGAAATCAATTCTGCTCGTCAAAAAGGTTTGGGGCTATTTGAAATGACGTCTGGGCTAGTAAACTCTAGCTTCAGCTTGCCTGAAAGGCAAGCTGTAAAAATGATTTTCTTTGCACCCTGAAAATATGTCCTGTAAAAGCTGAAAGGGGAGCCGAGGGTCCAAAGAATTTGGAAATGGTATCTTCCCTTCTGTATTAGCCCTTCCCTATCTGTAAATTATCCCCACTCCCTGATTTCTTTGAGGTCTTGCTTGAATATTAGTTTATAAGTGTACCTTAAAGCCTCTTCTCCTGAAATTGTTCCTTCAACTTCTTTTACAGTAAAGGCATGTCATTCTTGAAAAAAAGAAAATGCTCTGTCATTTGATCAAGTAGAGCAGATGCTATTTAATTTCATGAAGCAAAAACAAACGTGGAAAAGTAATTATTCAACAGTAAGATTGTTTTTCCTTTTTTGGTCATCATTAAACTTCCCTTCAGTTTTCTTGTGCATTATTGGCTGTGTGATTTGACCAGTGGGTCGATTTTTGGTGCACTCTCGATCCTCCTTTCTCCCTCTATATATTAATTTGTTTTCTTATTTAGTATCAAAGTGTTGACCAAATTACTGGGGAATTATGCTGCTTGTGAAAGGCATCTGTTTACCCGAAGTCCCCCATACAGTGGCGGATCCAGGCCTTCAGATAAGGGAGGGCCTGGTCATCCAGACCCTGAGATGGGGGGGGGGGGGGGG